GTTGCTCAATGGCCGAAAGATCTGCCATGATGGGTTTTTGAGCTATTCTGAGGGAATCATCGATGTTGGATTAGGTGTAGTTGCAGGTGGTCAATCAACTCACGCATCTTTCAAATTTTAGACTGGTTCTTCCAATATAACCGTATTTTGCTCCATTGGAGTATTAAATTTTGCAGATCTGTAAAAACACTCTCGTGGTTTGCAATCTTTATAAGTTTTTTCTCAACGATGGAATGTAATCTCTAACTACTGGGCAAACTATTTACACCACAATGCAATTTCAGCAACAGACAGTCATCAGTTTCCATCCGTCTAAGTCGGATTTTGGATATTTGTTCTGTCAGTGAATAAGTTGGTTCAGTTAGAAGGTGGTCACCTTACATGCTAAATATTTGGGTAGAGTTGAATATCTTTTCCTTTAAATTGTTGATGCAGTTTGCTTCTCTCTCTCTCCCCACCCCCTTCCCCCACTCCCCTTGCATTACTGTTCAATTTCTGCCCCTATATTGCTTGGAGAGAAGAAAAACAAAATAAACTGAAAGATCCTGTCTAACGGAATTGTTTGCCCTATACTATTTCTATAGACTTTTCGGGCTTGTTCCTTGTTAATTTCTCCTCTTAATGGTTGTAGGATCTTGTAGGACTTCTTTCCATCCTATATGTGCGAGGGAGGCAAGCCACAGAATGGAGATATGGGGGAAACTTGGATGTGATGATGTGAGCTCTATTCTTCTGGTCTTCTGCTTTGCGAAATTGTTAATTTTCCTGTAATGGCTTTTTTTCCTGTAATGTTGAACTGCTAATTTTTTTTTCGTTTTCGATTTTGGTTCTGAACTGATGTCATTTTGTACTAGATGTAGTTTTGATCCATTTCATTTTGCAACACACATATTGATTAAAATATCTTCCTTATTACTTTTTACCTGTTGTGTGCAATGCTTTTAGGTTGAATTGCGCGCGTTCTGCTTGAAGCATTCAGATTTACAGGTCAATAGTGGCAGTCAACAAGTTAGAGATCCTGCAGTAGATGTTTCTTGCCCCACAGATAACAATCAGTTGGCAGCATCAGTCACAGCCAAACCACACAAGTTAAAGCTTGGCTTAAGAAATGGAGACAAAAGGGTGCTGCACGTGGACAATTCTATCTCGGGTTTAGATAAGTTGAATGATGATGCATTACAACAGCAAGAGCTGCCAGAGAAGGACTTGAACCTTAAACGTCAAACAGAATGTGGCATTTCACAGCAGCCTGTTAATAGGGATTTATGTGTAAACAAAGATAGTGATGTGGCTGATCAGCTAAATTTCACCGTGATATTAAAAAAGGTATTACCGCATCTAGACTAAGTAGCAATGGTACATTCACAGACTCCTAGATCATGTTGGCAAATTTTGAAAGCTGTAATGAGATACAGAATTTACAGCTATGTCAAGCAAATATATTAGTCTTCGCATATATGTTTTCTCAGGTATAGCCTTAACCCTATCTCCATTTCCTCCTTCCGCCACCTAAAAAAAACAATAGTAGCTTTTTTATTCAAAGAGCATAAACACAATTTAGTGCCCAAGTCCATCAGCGAATTCCATCTTCTTTCTTTCCATTTTAGAGCCTTGGTCAAAGGAAAGGACAAGATAATCCTATAGTCACTTTTCCATTTACTAAAAAAAGAAACCCTATTTATTCTTCAGAAAACATTTGATTAGGCTACCAAGAAAACAAGTTGGATATAGCAGAAAACAGGGAAGCAGAATTACATTAATGCCCATTGGAGTTGCAGAAGTGTCCAAGTAGATGTTGGCGTGCCCAGTACAAAAATTAAATAAGATATGATGGGCTTTTGGACCTTGTGTGACTGATTTGTTCTGGGAATTAAGTATGACCTTGGATATGTGACGTAAGATTTGGTATCTGCGCTTTTAACCTGTGGAAGCTATCTTTTTGATCTTTTTATTCCAGTTTTATATGCCACTTTAGTTTATAAAATACTGAATCTATTCATTGCTTTTTTAGTTAATAGAGCAGAAAAAAGTTGATGTAAAAGATGTCGCTGCGGAGATTGCTGTATCTTCAGACTTGTTGGACTCAATGCTCAAGGTAATATCCTTTTGTTCTACTAGTCTTGTCCTACCTTTTTTGTATTATACACCTGATGAAAAACTGAAGCTTTCTGTTTCTGTTGAAGTTATTGGTCGAGCTGATTTCTTTTTGGTAACATACAGATACTTTTCTTGATCCACAATTCTGCTAATTGCAGGATGATAAAATGGTTCCTGACATACAGTTCAAGTTAGCTAAGTGGTTGAAGAATCATGCTTATATTGGAAGTTTACAGAAAACTCTAAAAGTTAAAATTAAATCCACAATAGCTCCAAAAGTTGAGGCTGGTGTGGTGGATGGTTTGGATTCCATTAGAGTAACAGAACCCGAGATTACGGACTTCGTCCGCGTCAAGTCTGTACCACCTCGGAGAAGAACCAAAAACAATGTCAGGGTTGTGAAAGATGGTGAATCACTTTTTCCAGCTAAGGAGACACTCAACACTGATGGAGTATCATCGGATGAAGCTAAAACTAGTGTGGTTGGAAGGGAAGATTCAAGTTGTCCAAGAGAGTTTCCGTCTGCTGGTTTGCAGCAGGTATGAAAAATGTTTTATGATTTTGGTTATTTGATTATATTTGAATTAGGTTGGTTGAATGGAATTAGTTTCACTGAGTTGGTTAAGTGTGGTTGGGGTAAGGCTGTAGCGCTTCTGCCTCCTATAGGCCAATGAGCAGGCCACCTCCCGTTGCCAGCTCGAAGGGCCCGGTAGTGATGATTTACTTGCTTTGGTAAAACATCAACTGAAAAGAAGCCAAATTTTCATGAGAGTGGCTTTGACATGACATTCGTTTGATATTGACATTGTGTTCTGTACTAAGGTTAAAGTTTGGAACTAAACTGCACATTAGTTGCTGGAGTCAAGGTTCATTTTTTCCAGTTTAGGCTTTTGGTATGAATCACATTGAGTATGGTATTTCTGATTGAACACTAGAATCAGTGAATTTTGGAACAGAAAGAGAGAAGACTAAGAGCCCGTTTGGACATAAACAAAATTTCCGTTTTTCCAAAAAAATTTCACTTTTTTTCGAAATCAGCGTTTGTTCATAAAATTTTCAATTTTCACTTGAAGATGCATTTTGGAAATTTTTGAAAATTTGAAAAACTCCAAAAAGGTGTTTTTTAAAATTTTCACTCAAATCACTCACAAAACTTCAAAAACAACCCAAAATTATATTCATGTCCAAACACAATTCTAGAGCCCACTAAAGCTATCTTTCAAATACCATTTTCACTTGAAAAACTTTTTCACCATGTTTTGGAATTTTACAATTCTTATGTCCAAACGCCCACTAAAGCATGAAAATGGAGCAAACTTGAGTTGCGAAAAGTTGTTACTTATTGACCATGCCATGCCTAAGAAGTGCGACACTGTGGTATAATAAAACTTGTGATTACCGTGTTCTGATTTGTGTTATGCTATTAGGGCTTAAGTTGTTGGGCGATGGCTGTTAAGCTTGGAAAAGATAATCTGACTAGGAACCTATTAGTGTCTTTCACATCGATGGTAGCTATAGATGTTTTTGAATTATGCTATCTTTCTTTGGAAGATTATTTCCTTCTTTTCTGGCTTATTTAGCAGTTCTCTAGACTTCTATAGCAGCACGGTGTGAACCTTGATAATGGAGATGCGTGGCAATGAATGGGGGGCTTTAAATTTCAAGGACTAAAGCATGCAGTATTCGGTGTGAATTTAAACATTGATTCCTCAAGTTCTTTTTGATATAATATTTGGAAACTACTTAAAAAATACTCTAAATTACAATATTTTATTCTTAAAAAAACTTAAGACATGCTTGAAAAAAATTGTAGTACAAGAGAAACGAAGCAATAATTGTGTCATACTATAATGAATTTCTATCTCTAGCTCCATATCTTTTCCTGGCTTCTTTCCTTCTCCCTCTGATTCTTCATATTCTTCAGCTTTCAACTGTTTTCTCCTCTGATATTTGTAATGCTCATGTTAAACATCGCAAAATTGAGGGCTCATAGGTGGGTAGTATCCTGCAAAGTAAAATGATAGTTTGATCTCTATACTCCCTGCAATTTGTGCGGATATGGGACAAATTTACGAAAACTCTCACGCCCTTCCTGTAATTATATCAGCAAGGAAGGCCGATTTTTAAACATATGAGACCAATTTACCATAACTCTCACCCTGTTCCTATAAATCAGTAAGGACTCATGCTGCGCCCCAGGAGAAGAAGCAATTCTTTTCGGCGTCTTCATACTCAAAATTTCCTTCCACACTTCTCTCCTGATGCCCTCTTTAGTGAATCTCATATAAAAGGTCGTCATCGTGAATCATCCCGCCCGTGGTCCTCCCCAAAGTGTTCTAACCTTCCCCACTCTCCCCTAAATTGTGGCTGTATCTTTTTTTTGAAAAACCTCTTGAACTTACTTTATCTTTTAAAAATAAAAGAAAACCTCTTGACCTTATCCCCCCCTCCC